AGCTAATAATTTTGAACGCGTTTTCAGGAAAATGGGCAATAACTCATATTAAATATCTTTTTCATTTTCAAGGATCTCAAATGGACGGACGGAAAGACCGGACGACGGTTGGACGGTGACACGTATATACTATTATTGAATATATTTGATAATGTCTCCTGTCTCACGCATCCTTCAAACTGATTCCCATCTACCATACTTTCTTCCTCTCTCCGCCCGCCTGACCTTCGTTCTTTGCATCCCCTCCTGGCTGCCCTTCTTTCCTCTCCCGGTCTCTTACTCCCCTCTCACCTTTCTTCTCTACTTCCATTCCTAGTCTCTCTTTCCGTCTGGTTAATTATCTCCCACTGAATACCCAACATCCCTTTTCGTCCTACTATACTTTCTTTTGTAATATGTTCTTCCGTCTTTTTCAGTTCTTCTCTGTATCCATTTCTCTCTTTCCTCTATTTCTTTTCCTTGTCTTATCTCCCTACTTCCTTCCTCTTTATTATATCATCTCTCTACTTCCTCTGTCTTCATGAGATTTGTTGCCAAATCTAGTAAGATTTTGGCAACGCTCACCAACCTTGAGGAAATGTGGACCGTTTAGTCTAGAATAGCTGGATCCATCGTATCTGTTTGTAATATGATTCTTATGATTAGTATTTTAGTTATTATTACAATATTTTAGACGTCATTGGTGAGATCGATCTGGAATATAAATCCGTAACATTTTGAACTGAAACACAACTTTTATGAAATGCTAATCCAATTTTTTAAAATTCAAATAAGTACGTTTTACATACGTTTTACTTCAAGGGAAGGAACTCTATGAAATTTTATTTGACCACTGAAGCTACTTAACAAAAATATTAAAATTCAATTTTGAAACCCATCAGAACAAATTGTTAAGACATTAGTCTTTCGGCTGGAGGTTGCGACCAAATAAGTCTTCGGAGTACTGATATTCGAAGCATGGCACGGAGGTACAATGAGTACCTCTCAATATAAGAGATTACCCCAGAGATCTTCCGTTCTCTCTACCCTATTCATTCTAATGGTACCGTACTTTTTCACTCCCTCTCCAGTCAACCAGAAGTCCTGTCTCACTCTTCCATACATACTGGTTCTCTTCTTAACAAACTTTCTTGCCACCTACTCTGTCTTTCACCCTCTTCCAATCTAGTATCCCTTCCTCTCCACTTTCAAGTATATATCTCAATCTTCACTTTCGTTTATTACATGTTACTTTCATCTTTTTCTTCCCTCCTTTTTAGAACCATTCTCGTCTTCATACCAGTTTACTATATATTATATCTACTTACCCTGTCTACTCCCGCTAGTTCAATCCTCTCTACACCACGCTTGCTGGTTATTCTGAGACAATTATCTGATGACTAACTACATTGAGACAATATTGTCTGATGTCTTGCCGTATCGGAACAACTCTTCTTCGCTCTTGTGTACTTATCCACGCCGAGCTGGCTCTTATTTTCCCTGTCACTTCCGCACGATACTGTCTAGTCTTCATACCATCCTTATCTCTACTTCTCCATAGGGCCTCTGGGGGTATTTTCTTATATTGAGAGGTACGGTAGTCATTGTAACTTCGTGAAATGCTTCGAATTGCAGTACTCCGAAGACTTACTGGGTTACTAGCCGAACGACTTGGTTAGTTTTTTTATCAATTTTAACAGAGTTTCAACACTTGATGTACTGAAAGTGCAACATATTTTAATCAGAATTCAAATTCGGTGTTCAGGTTTATATCGACAAGGTCCTGGACAAGTATTTGATTACTTGTTCCACGAAGGCAGAATTCGGCAATCCTAAAACTGAATCTGTTAGAGAGCGCTTGTAGGACTTTCACGGTAGACCCTGCTGAGACAGGTGTTTCTCTATTGAGACAAATATTGATGTTTTGCTCCAGTGAGATGTCTTTTGCACGTTCTTCAACTTAATGTTACCGTGATTAACTTTTTCTTTGCATACAGCAATATGTTTTACATAAATATATTTTCAAAATTCAAATCTACTTTTAACATTGACATTATTAAATTTGTTTCAATATTTTATAGATAAATATTTCTAGCAATAAGCTTCTACAATACTATTTACCTAGCTCTCTGTCAGTTGCCAAAATACCAACATAAAATCGAGCACTCTGACAGCTGACACTATGATTATAAAGCTATGAGAGCTTTGGATGACTGTATCGAAACTATGCAACTTTGCAAATTTGATCTTTCACCAAAAAATCAATCACAGGAGGCGGCATGGAAATACAGAGGTGGAGATCATTCTAGAAATTTATTTCTGTTTATCACATATCACATATTTTTCATTGTTAATTCATATATTTAGTTTTGTGGTATAGTGTCATATACATATTAAGACTTCACTACTTAAAAACCTAAGACCTAGTTGAATCATGATTCTATATTATGTTCTATTTCCTCTATTTCCTGTTCTATTTCTTGTTGTTTGATTAATTCCCAGTATAGACCTTTCCTTTTCTTTAAACTATTATGGTCACCCATCTACAATGTAAAAAACATTTTTTTCAATGCCTGTATTCTACCCTACTCTGGATCAGTATGATTGTTTAGAAGAACTGGTGGATATTAAGGCTGTTGATTAATACGAAAATACCGATCAGTATCCTTTAAACGGCATATAGTTATTGACTTGGATTGTAAAAAATACAATACTATATAGAATACAATTACTATATTTATTAGAGGCCGACGTTTCAGTTATAAAGATAGTAATTGTATTCTATATGGTAGTATTGTCTTATTTAATATTTATACTTAGTGTAATATATTGATCCAACATACAAGGTTGGGGACATTACATAATTGTATCGTGATACAAATGACATTAAATCAGACAAACTCACTTGCATGATGGAAATAATGTAAATCTACCCTGTCAAAATATTTATATATCATTTACCGATGGTTTTGGTAGTTTCCGAGTGCCAAAATAGTCTACTAGTAAATTCCTTGTGATGGCAAGCTTGATAATATGCATCGTCATATTGATGATAATCTGTAAATATCTCATATCATGGCTAACGGCCTTATATATATCGCCGAAATTAGAGCTGTGCGATATTGGCTCATGTTGATATTACGATATGAAACATTAATATATCACGATATGGGTATATATCGCGATATTTTTTAAGTTTGTTATTTACTGGTTTTAAAAAAAAAATATGTTCAAGAAATTTTAAATGTAACATAAATCAATAAATATCTCTAAAACCACCCCAGTCTTTAACATCATGAAAAAAATATCAAGTTACGATGTATCATGATAACTATCATATATCACGATATGGCGATATTTCGATATATTTTAATCAGGCGATATTATTAACAATATAAATCCCTATACCGGTATTTATCGTGGTACCGGTATATCGCCCAGCCCCAGCCGAAATAGTGCAAAGCCACATTCAAGGTAGTGTTGGCATAGTAATAAGTACCAGTACTTACTTCCAATATTTGACCATGTGCTACCACAGCTATAACATCAGCATCTCTAATAGTACTCAATCTATGTGCTATTATTAATACTGTACGTCCTTTAATAACATTATCTAATGCTTCTTGTACTATACGCTCAGATTCGGCATCTAAAGCACTGAAAATTACAAATTTTACACATATTTTTAAAAACAATTGTTTACATCACTGATAATGGATACTGTGATTTGAAATAAAGCTAATTGAATGTTTCTCTATCATCAAAGAATTTCAATTTGAACGCTTTTAACACAAATATGCATTTATGTCTACATTAAATAAAGGGAATGTATCCTGTGTTGGAGATAAAATCACGGTATGTATCTATCTATCTAACTGTTGTGTCTATTCTTAACATTTTTCCATTTTAAGAGAATATTTGTAGCTTGACAGTAGTCAATATTCATTTTACAAACCTTGTAGCTTCATCTAATATCAATATAGAAGGATCTTTAATTAAAGCTCTAGCAATAGCTATACGTTGTTTTTGTCCACCAGATACTGTAACACCCCTTTCACCTAATACAGTATTATAACCTTGTGGGAATTTATTAATAAACATGTCAGCATTGGCTTGTCTAGCTGCCTCTATTACCTGTTAAAGAACATAAGATTATGTTTTATGTTTATATCTCAATAGAGCAATTAGACTAGTCGTTTCAATAGAGCAAGACATCAAATATTTGTTTCAATAGAGCAAGACATCAAATATTTGTTTCAATAGAGCAAGACATCAAATATTTGTTCCAATAGAGCAAGACATCAAATATTTGTTTCAATAGAGCAAGACATCAAATATTTGTTTCAACAGAGCAAGACATCAAATATTTGTTTCAATAGAGCAAGACATCAAATATTTGTTTCAATAGAGCAAGACATCAAATATTTGTTCCAATAGAGCAAGACATCAAATATTTGTTTCAATAGAGCAAGACATCAAATATTTGTCTCAATAGAGCAAAATAGAAAATGGCCTTCTCAACAGAACATGAGAAGAAAGTTGTCCCAAAAGAGCAAGATATAAAATATTTGTCTTAATAGAGCAAGACATAAAATATTTGTCTCAATAGAGCAAGACATCAAATATTTGTCTCAACAGAACATGACAAGGTAGTTGTTTCAGAGAGCAAGACATTAAATATTTCTCTCAAAACAGCAAGAAATCAAAATAGAGAATGTGCAATGGCACAATGTTGTTTTCTGGCTTGGTGAAATTACCTCTTGATCTGTAGCGTCTGGACGACCATATCTTATATTCTCCATCACTGAGGTAGCAAATAAAATGGGTTCCTGGAAAAATGAATATTTCTATGTTTTTCAGTTATCTTGAGCTTTTGAGTAAAAGCAACAAACCTCAGTCAACAGCCCCAATCCCGAAGTGCAACAAACCTTGAGATGAGATACCTAAAGGAATACTATCTAGGATGACCAAAAAATTGAAATTTCAAAACATGACTAAGATGAGTCTTTGTTCATTAGTTACCGGGTGTCATAACTATGCAACAGAATCCCTCTGTAGCGTTTTTCAATAATTACTTTGATGAATGGATAATATTGTCTTAAATAGAAATTCTTTTTCATGGCATCTAAGTCCAACAGATGAATATATACACACTTATTGACCAAGTTTGAGATATCAAGTATTATGACCATTTTAAAAGGTAATATTCCTTAAAACATCAACTTCATCAATTATATTAGTGTCATCAATTGTCAATGTATAATTTATTAGCTGGCTGCCTGTTTAAAATGAATGCTACCGGTAACTCTTAAAATAAAAATACAATTTCGACTTTTTCAAACTTAGCCAATAAGATTATATTCAGCAATGGACTCACCTAGTGTCATAACTATACAACATTCCCCTTAAAACCCGATTAATCAATAAAACTAATAAATTATTGAAAAAAGCTTTATAAATATTTTAAGGCGTTTTTTTTTAAATCGTAAAGTTACTGGAAATCCGTTGCAGTCTTAAGGGGAAGTAACTCCAGTTTGGGGATTCCCTGCGTCCTTGACCTACACTCGTGTATTGATCAACAGGGAATAAATTAAAAATATTATAATATGCCTCGGAAAAGATTGTCTGACTCCGAGAAAAAAATAACAAAGCAGCTTTACAACAAAAAATATTATCTATTAAACACGCAATACTATTTGCATTTGAAAATAGACCAAAAACAGAGAAAACGGTGGGACCTTGTTAAAGAAAAATTGAACCTAATATCAGACGAAGAAGTTGCGCATGTTTTGTTAGACAGGTTAGTTAAATAAACAATTATTTATGTTGCTGGTCAATTATTATTTTACCAAGTGTATAGTTACAGATTCCACATATTGGATATAATTATGTTTACAGAACATAATATAAGAAATAGGGTTCAATCTTCAGAATTATATTTTCTCCATGTAATTTATTCAATATATCTCTTGCATTTTGATTAATTCAGCTTTTATAGAAGAGAAGAGACAGTGTCTGCTACAAGACCTCAGACTTCAAAAACTATACCAAAGGCCTTACCAATACTGGCAATACCATCAACTTCTACAATTACACCAATTGTGAAGACACGTGTATCACCTAATTTATCTAAAGAGTCTTCAGTCCAGAGGTTAGTATTTGTAGGGACATCTTAATAATTGTTTTGGTCAGATATACATTTGTAATGAATACATGGTTTCATTCCTTATAGGCTGTTCATCAAAATCAGCACTATCAAAACCCTGTAGACCAATTAAACAGTTACCTACCTATTTATATCATTTAAAATTTCTCTCTAAAAATTTGCACGAAAATTGATAAAAAACAGTTTGATTTCTTGATGATACCAAATAAAAGCAATAAATCTGGTTTAATTTAGAAGTATTTATCCTTGTATTTGATTTATTTCTCTTCAGCTCAGATTCTGCACAAATGAATTGTGTTAAATTGTTGACCCCTAAAGTGGAGGTGGAAGATGAAGAGTCAGCATGACAAAAGGATTTAAAATAAGTCATAATTATGATCTCATAAGACCAGTCTATATGACCATCTAGTACAGTCCAGTACATGTGTTTATATTTGTGTTTTAATTGATGACATTTTACAAATTGTTTTTCTATTAACTTATATTGACAATAATACTCACTAGATCAAAGATTGTGTTTTTCCCCACTAGTTTTTTTAAATTGCCATCCCCACCCTCAAAAATCTTTACTTTTAGGCTTTGCACAATGGATTTGTATGTCTTGTGGTTGTGACAGGCATCTTCCAACAGTTAAAATATTATAAATGATGCAGAAAGTCGAATAAGATGATCTCTCCTTGTTACTTGTGTTTGGCCTAGTCTACAGTTTCCATGGTTACAGTCACAAGATCAAGATCATGTTGAAGCAAAACTCCTCGGTCTCCACTTAGTGGGGTGTTTATACTGTGCAGATATTTTTCCCTAGTTGGTGCAGACCACATCTTTTATTCTTTACATTTGCAGGATTTGGCCCACTTGAAACTAGTATGGTGAAAAGCATTCTCAACCTGTTTACAGTGCCATATTTTCTGACAAACCGGACTCGGTTTTGTCAGCCCTTCTTACCTGCATCACTGACGGGGGAAACTGGGTTAAAATCCTAAGGTATCATCTTGACCTATGCCAGGATTGAACCCTGGACCTTCAGGTTAGCGAACAAGTGTCTAACTCACTGAGCCACCGCGGCTCTGTGCATGTATTCTAAGAGATAGAATTAGTTTAAAATTGACAAAGACCTGGAGATATAATAGTTCCAATCTTTGTGTATCAACAAAGCTGAAAAAGAGACAGACCTGATTAATAAAACCTATTGCATGACCACGTAACCATGTAGGATCTAAATCTTTAATATCAACACCATCTATAGTTATCTGCCCCTGGTCAATATCATAGAATCTTTCTAACAATGATGCAACAGTTGATTTACCTGAAAATTGAAAGTGAATAGTTTGAAGGAACCTGACAAGAGCTTGATTAAGATAGATAGAAGACACAGATTGTGAAATCAGATATTTTTATTTGCTCAATTGGGAATTCAATCATAAAGCACACACAAAGCACTTGAAAGAATCCAAACTGATATCCACAAAGCTCCTCACAAAAGGTTGTTGTCAGATTCTTCTGAAGTCAAAAAATTTCTTGTATAGGGTAACAGGTGTAGGTACATTGTTTTCTATTTTTCAAACACAATAAAGGGTTGTTTATATGGGTGTTTCTGCCACTCATGTCTGATAGGAGCTCACAAATAACTGAAAAGATTTGAACAGAAGGGTTCTATATTAATAATGTAATTTTTAAAGCGGTGTTACCTCCTCCTGACAGACCAACTAAAGCCATGACTTGACCACCTTTAATCTTTAAACTAAAATCTTTCAATATAACCTGAAATAAGATATTAAGTCTTCTCACTGCCAAACACATTAAAAAATTTACTGTGGTAAGCAAAATTGGGAGGAGGTGATATTGGTCAGTTTCCTATCTGAGAAGATCTTTGTAGTACTTAGTTAGATGAGTGGTCTTATTATCGTTAATGGATTTTGAAATTCTCACCTGGCCTGGTCTGGTAGGATAAGAGAAATTAACATGTTTAAACTCTATATTTCCTTCTAATTCTTTATGTTCTATTGTCTTCCCTCCAACTAGTGGAATACTGGGTGTACATTTTATAAACTGAAAATAAAACATCCAATGATATGTATATACACAAAGCCTGATACATATTTTGTTGTGAATTCATTTTTATCATATGGGTTAAATTTTCATAGATATTGTGGGTCCTACAAATTTATGTCTCTTCAATAATACTTCTTTAGGCGAAACCACCAAAAGTCGTTCCTCTGCAAATAAATCATATCACACTGAAGAAATGGGTATAGTTCAAAGTGTAGCCATCCTGCATTATACAAATTATTTTGTTAACATTGGAAGTTACCTCAAACACTCTGGCCCCAGCACTAATTCCTTTCACTACTTGACCAAATAATAATGACATATGGGCTAAAGATCTGAAATAATAAGCAGATCATGCAGACGATATTAGAAAACATTACACTCTCTTCACTTATAACATAGACATACAAATTCATGGATCAATAATTGCTTTTATAAAAGTTACTGAAATACTGGAAATAAAATGTCCACTTCACAATGTTGCCTAAGTCACATTCAGGCTGCTTGCAAATTGATTCTTATAAAGCATAATCTTTGAGTGTAGAGTTATAACATTTAACATTTACCTCTCTATAGTTTGTGTCGCAACTAAAAATGACATGAGATCACCAGCTGTTATTTCATGTAATGACATCATATAACCACCAGCAAACATTGTTCCTAATACAATACCTATAACAAATATCTTTGTGATAAACTCATCTTGAATAATGATATTCCCTCTAATTCAGACCCTTCATTAGCCAAATCGTCCTGTTATTTGAGGAAGGTATGCAGAACCTTCATTTCACATTGTGACACATGTACTACCTCAACCTATGTTTGGAGTGAGCCACTGGAATTCAAGTCATTTTTATTTTGTCTTTGAATTAAAGCATGTCATCCTTTTTTTACATACCATTTAAAGCAATATTTGATAAGCCTTGAAATATGGCTATACCAACACCTAGTTTAATATTCAGTTTACCAGCCTTTTCTACCTCATTGGAATACAATCTGAAAATAATCATAAAATTCTTAAAGAGGTGTAGCTTAAATAAATAAATCCAGCAAATTTGATAAAAATATCATGTTCTGAAACTAACAGAATGTTATGTTTCCAATTTAACACAATGTAATGATATATTCTCAATTCTCAAATTATAGAAAACATTCACAGAATCGGAACATAATGTTCTCATATCAACAGAAATGTAACATTATGTTCTCATATTAACAGAAAGGTAACATTTTGTTCTCATATTAACAGAAAGGTAACATTTTGTTCTCATATCATCATAAATGTAACATTATGTTCTCATATCAACAGAAAGGTAACATTATGTTCTCATATTAACAGAAATCTAACATGTTCTAATATCTACAGAAATGTAACATTATGTTCTCATATCAACAGAAATGTAACATTTTGTTCTCATATCAACAGAAATGTAACATTATGTTCTCATATCAACATTATGTTCTCATATTAAGAGAAATGTAACATTATGTTCTCATATTAAGAGAAATAAAACATGTTCACACATTCACAGAAATGTAACATTATTATCTCAAATTAACAGAAAGGAAACCCAGTGTTTTCAAACCAATACAAAAGGACAAATGTTCTCAAATTAAAAGAAAGGAAACCCTGTGCTTTCAAATCAACACAAAAGTAACATCATGTTCTCAAATTAACAGAAAGTTAAGATTATGTTCTCGATCAACATAACTAATACCTACTCATTTTCTTTTTTCTCCATAGCAAAAGCTCTAACAGTTCTCACATTTCCTATAGCTTCATCAGCTACTGCTGTTGCTTGAGCAACCTAAAATATATATTTCACTGTGATACCCAATTAGACAAGCATGAAATTACAAATACCTTATAAATCAAAAAGCCATTTGAAATATGGAAAGCTAACCTTCATTTTTAAAACCAGCTGTCTTGATGAAGATTTTTTACCTGTAACACATGTTAGAAACATGATGCCAATAAAGAAGACTAATATGAACCTTAAAATACTTGTGACATCCTAATCTTACCTGTGTCTGTGCATCTTTTGCAAACATTCGAAGTGTAGAACCAATAACAGTGCCTCCTATTATTATTGCTGGAACCACTGCCAACATAACAGCTGTTAATTTTACAGATATCATTAACAGTGTGGCCATACATCCAACAGTCTGAAAACAGATACATAAACATGTAAGGCTCATTGGAAATCATAAGCAGAAAATCCATCAAATCAGCATTGGAAAAAGTCTACTGAATAAGTCAAAAAAGCTTGCAAACTAAGCTAAATTCGACTTATCCTTTCCAGTAATTCATTTGAGAGTGTGTTACTTTGCATTTCTTAACACTGAACCCCTAACCCTAACCCTAATAAGTTTTCATTACCTGGGTAACAGCTCTTAAACCTTGTGAAATACATAATTTAAAAGAACTTTTAAAATCTTGAACATCAGAAGTCAATCTGTAAATAAAACCAACACTTTGTAGGCTAATCTATAGAAATTAAAGGTGGAATCTTTCTCTTAAACAAGAATAATAAGGCAGTGTACATCCAATATTGAATTTTGAGGCTTTATGCAACAGTGGATTAACACAGATGAACATAGTCTCCCTTGCAAGTGACACCCACCACAGTAAGTAATGATTTTCATTATCTTTAAATACATCATGAACTTACCTGTCAATAAGTTCACCTGTTTTGTGTTTGTCAAAAAATTCTATGTCTTGTTTTAATAGAGAGTCAAATAATTTCTTCCTCATTCTTGTAGCAACATTTTCTCCAACTGTTGATAGCAGTGTAATATAACAAAATGTCAATAAACCCTAGAAATATAATGTATCACAGGCATCAACTTAAGAGTAGTCCAGGCTCATGCTGGGTATCTTCAATCATGCCATGATACGATACGTATTGAGATACAAGGGTCACGATATGATACGTATCACGATATGTGGTAATGGGATAAAATTTTATATAACATTTTATATTCAAAGTTTCAATATATATTAATTCATAGCTTTGTAACTGTGGTATTTTGTATTGTAGTTGATAGGAGTGGTTAATGTCCACCGTCATTTTGTTATTCAATTCACTAATTTATAAGTATCCCCACTTCAGTATGGAATGAGAGGTATCGTCAAATATCGATACACGACTTTGCAATACAGCATGTTGTATAGTGATATATTCATTCACTGATATATAGTGCTAGGACTAGTCCAGTCATCAGGCCATCTTTCTCACCAAAAAAAATATACAGAAAGGCACTTGAAATTCAGTTGGAGGACTCTTTTGGGAAATCTTTATATGAGGTTATTATAATCATTAAACATGTGTGCTAATGATACGAAAAAAAAAACAAATGCAAAAATTGATCTTGTTTAGTGAAGTATTATCAGATATTTCAGAGTATATTGGACAAACTACCATATTGTGAAGAATCATATTGCGTAAACAGACTATTTAGTGATACAACAAGTAATACCTGAATAGAGTAAAGTATCACCAATCTAATAGCTGGTTCTTTAATCTGTTGTAAAAATAACTCAGCTGTTTGTGTTGTAAATTGACTGATAACATTCACTATTTCACCCAACATGAGTGGTATTTGGACATTCACTATAGCCACAGCTAAAGCACTCTGAAATGTAAACAATTTAGAACAAAAAACTCTAAAGGGATATCATATTAGGTATTATAATACCTAACTAGTGAGGGCTACCTATACATATACATATATCTAGATTCTATTTAGATCATTCAGATGGGTGTCTGTGAATCTAGTAATTCCAGAAAAACTATACCAGTTGATATTCCCAATGCCTCTCTAGCAAGTCATATGTCAGCAAAGAGATGTTACCTGGATGTAACATTACTTAAGGAAAATTGACTAGTGAATATGCAGATAGCTTATAATCATTTAAAGCTGCAGAGAGTTAACTATAAGTTACTAATATTCATTAGCAAAAATAACCATTCATATTTCCTCATAGATACTTACTATCACAGAAGCTAACAGGTACCATATTTCAGGCCATAACAGTTTCATAAATTCACTCCAATCAAAACTTGGGTCTGGGCCATTGTCTTCACTTTTATCAAGAAGTCTACTCGTTTTGGCCTTGCATTGTCCTCTTTTATAATGTTTCAAATAGTATGCAGTGCCAGTTCCAATAACACAACCACTTAATGGTGCCAATCTATTGAAAAACGGTCTTGTTTTTGAAGCATCTTTTGCACCTTTTGAAAAGAGTTTGTTACATATTTTTGTTATCACAGATCTTGAAAATGGCAACTTTAAAGAGACATCTGTCTGAATTTTTAATGTATGACACAGTTTCCTTGTAGTTGCCCTAAAAATAAAAATGTAATGTTTACAGCAAATCAGAATTGCAGATTACATTTAGTCTTTTCATTGCAGGCAAGTATTATATCCAGAGGGGCAATGGTGCATGATGTTTAATTGCAGTCATGGAATAGATCTGATGTCAGAATTTTTTTAAGGGGGGGGGGGAGCAATCCATCTCTCTAATTAACAGTACAGTATACAAGGTTTTTCGTTTTCAACCGCAGAAAAAACATTGAACATTGAACCTCGAATAATATAACATTTTACAAGGTTTTAAATCTGCCGGTTATATAAGGTTACGCGTTATTTGATTAGTGGTTTTTGGGTTATTTACAATCAAGTTAAGAATAAGAGGTTTTGATCACAAGATCCGCACTTTTACAAGCTTTCGAACCATAGCAATAAGTCAAAATGACCAAATATGGCATATACAAGGTTTCAAGCGTCACCTAGATATAGCCTAAGTCTCACTGTTTATCTTTTAGTGAAGAAATTATTCTGTTTCTGAGACCAAGGTATGATTGGTAAACAAATGGTGAACCTTTCGGTTGAAGGTAAAATGCACAAATGCATTGTGATTGAGCCTTTGGCTACTGTGTGCTGATTTTAAGAGTTTAGTTATTCTCACCAGTGGTTCAATTGAAAGTGACCTATTGCCCTTGTTATAAATTTGGATGGCTGAACTACACTTTTTGGAATTCCATGTGAGAATACAATGAGTTGCCTGTGTGGCATCCCACATAAAATATTTGCGAGCATAATTTCAACGTTTTGATGAAATATTGATATCATCCATTGTCATTTTAAGCCAAAAACGGTTGATTTTCACATAAATTTCAAAATAATCTGCAACTTATGGGCGCAGCCATTTTCAAAAGCTAGCTGTAATGATTTCGTAAATTAGCTTGCAATAATTATCTATTATATCGTGTCATATTAAGTATGAATCTTAGGCCGTACAATAATGAAATCAAGATTTAGTTTTATTTCAAAATCTGGTTTATTTCAGTTCGTGGAATTTTTCAAATCGAAAGTCTTAGTAGTGTTGTATTTTCGTACAAATTACAATATCCGGTTTCCTTTTACAAAAAGGTAAATAAAAAATAAATGCAAAAAAAAAAAAGCTTGTTACAGATATCTTTCACATTAATAATCTCGAGATTATGACGAGTCGTAACAATGTCTCAACCTTCACCTTGCTGTTCTGCTGACAAGGAAATAAATGATGAAACTGTCAAAAACATTAACTCGGCAGAAAATGTAGAAATTCTTGAAACAGAAAATAAGGAAACAGTTGAATTCGATTCCGGTGAATTTGAAAGTGATCAAATAGAAACTGAAACTAAAAGAAGAAACGTAGATAAAGACAAGACTAACGGTGACAAGACTGTAAACCAAGAACCAGAGGAATCTATGCAAGTTGATGAAGATCTTTCAGACACAGAAAGAAATTCTGAATCTGCTGATCTAAGTGAAGGACAAAATATTGGCAACACTGACGAATATTACGCAAGTGGTGGCAGTGGAAGTGAGAGAGAAATCAAGGCATTGGGAGGAGAAACCAAACAAAAAAGTGTCAAATCAAAAACAAAAAGAAGTCAATCTCAGCGTTTGATAACAGACTTTGTCAAGCATAAACCAAAAGATAATACTAAGTCACCAAAAACCCACAGCATCTCAGATTCCGGAAGCGATACTGATCCAGTTGATAGTGGTGATAGTGAAGAAAAGCACACGTCAGTTGCAGCTAAAGTTACAAAGAAAAAGAAAATGGGGAACTATGTGGCTAAAGGATATAGAAGTGTAATCAACACAAGACAGGTAGTCAGGACTAGGGTAGGGGATTTATTGTCTTTTAACATTTCTTACTGCTCTAGACAAATATAACATACATATTTAACCTCGTTAACAACTATTGGTAAAAAAAATAAAAGCTTCTAACTCCAGGATAACTTTTTGCTTGTTAGCTTACTAAGTATCAGCTTAGTCAAAGACGGATGATATCTCCATTTTCTTAATACAGGTAATTTGAAATTGAATTTTTAAAATGCAAATTCATATTTCAGAATGTAAGAGAAAAAAGTTCTGATAGTGATGATGATGTAAGTGTAGTAAATATGTCTTCAATTGTCAGTTTAATATGTCAGTTGAAAGTCATTGAAAAAAAGGAGCTAAAAATGATTTTTTTTTGGGACAAAATTAGACTATTTGACATGTTTTAAATGTCCTTAAATGACAAAAGGAACTCTTTGTAAATATAATTTTGAATTGAAATAAATCTCAACTGCCAAAAGACATTGGTATTTTAAAGTAGGCTATATGATAAGATATCCTTTCTTATAATTTTTCTTGTAGTTTATGAGACCATCTTTGTATAAAAAATGGAGTGATAAAGATACAGAACAATACAGAAATGGCTATCCTGTAAGTTACTTTTTATACGCCCACATGTATCTATGTGGACGTATATTGTCGGCAACATTTGCTTGTAAGCACTCTAAAAACTAGATTTTTGGAATCAAATGAAAATTGGTATGTGTATACATATTCATAAAGCAAAGATCAAATTCAAATTTGATGTTGATGAAACTTAAAATGGTTGTTATTGGACCTAAATCGAAAGGTGTTAGAAAGTGTAGTTTACTTCTGATTAAATTTAAGGCTTTTTCAAGATTCCGGCCTCTTATGTCAGTTTTGAGGGGTCAATCAATCAATCATTGAATCAAGCATAATAGGATCCTTAAGTTTTTCAAAGATAGCTCTATTTGAATGAAAATGTAATATTTTATATATCTTGCAATTAGATATTTTGATATGAATTGGAATTAATGATAATTGATTTGGTACAATTTATCCTGTAATGATTAGCTATATTTTCTATTGATGCAGTTCATATGTGTATTTGTTTAATTCTAGGGTAAGAAAGATGATCCTAAAGCAACAGCTAATAAGGGTTTTTATTTCAATGAAATGCCATCACATCCTGATGGTATGTTTAGTTTCTTATGATTAACTAGACCACTAATGATTTTTATCATTGATACATTCAATTCAAAGTATTTAGTCTTCTTCATCAAGTCATGAGTCAGTTTGGATATCTACCCTTGGGAACAAAAACTGATATTAACTAGATCTCTAACTAGATCACTTGATTCAGTTCTTAACTTAACATACAAGAGTCAAGTGATCTTTTTAGATCATACAGACTGAGGCATGTTTCAAAAGGCTGTGCATGTTAGAGATCACCTGACAGAAATGAGTAGGCTTATAACACTGTCCAGGAAACTTCATGGCATTACCTGTCTTCTGAGAGTAGAAACTGAAAAGTTTGTTTCATTTGCTACAGGCTTAAAAAAATAAGTCAATTTAACTGATTAAAACATGACCATCTAGATTGTCAATATAGATATACACGTATGCATATATTTTAACTTCACTCAAGTCCTTACAATCATATGGTATCTCTGAATGTAAATTTCTTCCCTTATGACAAATTCTAAACGTTTATAAGATTTTTTGTGAGATCTTTAATCCAGCATTTCTTCTCTTTCAGGAGATAAAATTGAAAATATCCACAAGAATTGGAAGGGAGATTACAAGTTACTTGAAAGACATCATGGTTATATTCAATGGTAAGGGTCATATTTACAAATCTAGCATCTTAACCATGTCACAGTACTTTCAAATTAGATTAATATTGAATGGTATCTCTTCAGAGCTTGGTCGATTTGTAAATTTCTCGTGGATTTTCAATTCATTGTTGTCAAGGTGCTTGGTTTCATACCTGAAAGAGCTCAACTTAACTTTTAGAATTAGAATGTCTAAAACCCTTAAACATCTATATTTGGTTGTTGCAGGTTGTTTCCTATTAGAGAATCAGGTATGAACTGGCATGCACAAGAACTTCAACTACATGAAGCAAAGGTAACCCTTTGTTTTAATGAAATATAATATGTTTATATTGTTAATTTTTTTCATAGTTATCATTCTGTAATGCTTTCCAAATAGTAATACTTTTAAATTTTGACTTTAATATACTTAAATATACTGTTATGTAACATCTGTTTATTGCAACTACAATATAATTGGCTAATTGACTTCCTGAACTTTTGTTTCTAAAAATCATTTGACACAAGGGATTCTCTTAAATGTAATCAATAAATATCTTGCAAATGTAATCTATTTTGGATTTTTCTCCCTGATTTTTAGGCTATCAATAGTAATAAGAAAGCACACAGTAGAATTTTAGAATCCTATAAGTTAATGTTAGATTTTTATGGTATTGAATTAGCAGATCCTAATACAGGTGAATTGAAAAGGTCAAAAAATTGGGAAAGTCAGTTTCAACATCTAAATAGGTATGTTTCCTTTAAACAGCTTTATAGATTTTTGTTAATGGCAATTTTTTTGTTAAGAATGGTTCAAAACTGATCTACAGTCAATATACTTAAATACTATATATTGTTAAGCACTATACCAGTGATCAATGTGTTAACGCACAAGAGAGGACATGCTCACACTTCAAAGAGGGATAACTAGCAAAACAAATTGTCAAGAACAAAGTTCATATGACCTTACATCAAAACTCGTCCACTCCATTCCTTGCATGTGATGTCATCCATGTTAGCATTATTTTACACTGATAAAAGTTACTTAAAGTTTGGTTGAATATGAATACATTTAAAACAAACTTTGAATCTACATAAGACATTGATAATATAATTGTTATTCAAATGTATTGAAAATGAAGGTGAAGTGGAGAATCATTAGGTACCTGTACTGTATTAAACTCACACTTTTCTTACCATATTTTCAGGTCCATGCATAATTATTTAAGAATTACAAGGATTTTAAAGTCATTAGGTGAATTTGAATATGAACATTTAAAAGAACCTTTTGTGAAGTTTATGATGACTGAGGCTTTAAAGGAAAAGACTTTACCTAATGTTGCATCCAGTTGTATGAATTACTGGGTGGGAACAATCAGAGATGATGAACAACGAAAAAAATTGAGAGAATATGCTACTGAATTGGGATATGATGAAGGAAAATTTTAGGATTGTGTGATTCTATAAACTTTTACAGCACATGATAACAAAGGAATTCACAATATGAATTGTGTTATATTTGAAACAATTTGTGATTTATTTAAGACTTTAGATTCTAAAGTTTAGAAACAGAACTCCACATTTTAAATATTTTTTAGGTTAAAATTGAGTCCATATCCAAAAGCAGCTAAGAATATAAGAAAAGGTTTAGAGTTACCCTATATATAATTATAATTATGCAGCGAACGTTTTGAAAATATGTGAAATCATAAAATCTCAATAATGAGGAGAATTTAACTCTTGTTTTGGAGACTATTTCTTGTTTTAACTAGCCAAAACGCCCTTTTTATATTGTCGGCACCCCTGTCCGTCAAATGAAATTCGGTATGTGTATACATATTCATAAAATGAAGATCAAGTTCAAATTTGAGCTATTTTCGACCATTAGAAGCAGAGTTATTGCCCTTGCCCCAAAATCTTGAATATGCTATTACTCTCTTAGTTTTCAACCGATTTTGATGAAACTTAAAATTTATTGGACCTAAATCGAAAGGTTTGAGAAAGTTAGTTTACTTCTGATTGAATTTAAGGCTTTTTCAAGATTTAGGCCTCTTATGTCAGTTTTGAGGAGTTATCGCCCTTAACTGCTTCTATCAACATCATTTGCTCGTAGATATTTCGAATTGTTTTATAGTGGACAGTATTTTTGAATGAATTTTAATATTATGATCCTTATGTGATGTAAATTATTTAATTAAGAATTTGATGTGACACAATTCTGATTTTGATTTGTTTCACTACTTTTTATTATTTTTACTTGATGATATATACGTTTTTCATTGGATAAATTTCATTTGATTGAGTACATTTTCATTGGATAAATTAGTATTGAAATATTATTTAAACAATTGGATTGAACATTTATTTATAGGATAAAACATCATTTTTATTCATTGGATAAAATACTTTTTCATTGGATAAAATTCATTTGATTTAATATATTTTCATTGGTTAATGGATTTATTTAAATTTCATTGGCTTAAATTTCTTATCATTGGCTAAAATTCTTTTTCAATTGGATGAAATTCGTTATACATTGGATTCTTTTTCATTGGAAAAAATTTCTTTTTTATTGGAAAAATTTTTTGTTTCATTGGATGAAACTCCATTTCCATTGGATGAAATTCCTTTTTCATTTCTTGATTTCATGAAATTGTTTATTTTTGGTTTTGACAATGGTTATGAAATGTGAAAAATCCAGATATTTTATCGACATTTTCCATTATAGACTACCCGGGATCACAATGTTGACAAGTGCTATAACTATATCTTTATTTTAACAAGTGTAGAATATGGTGTTTTCTACAAAAGAATGTATTATAAAGATGGGTTATTTTTTTTCTGTCAAATTAAGCAAACTACTTGATTAATTGGTGTTTCTAATGAATTATCAAGTATTCTTAATCATACCATTATGTTCTTATTACATATAATACATGTCCATGTCTGGATAAACAAAAAAAATACTTTTTGACCTTTCTTCATCATATTTCTCTTCTAATTTAGCCAATTATGAACATTAGAACCCCTCTACTTTCTATTCATATAAGTATTAGCATTTTCATTTTCATAAATGAAAATAAGGGAACCCATCTTTAAGATTTTCCACATTTGTTTGTTTGTTCATGATTTAAAAACAATGATTATACAAAATATATTAAAGTGTACCATTAAAATATACCATGAATAGTTTCTATAATTTATTTCTTATTTTCAATTTGTTTTAATAAACTGAGCATACCTTTTGAAGAGTAATTATAGCTAATATTGTAAATTTTTTATATTTATACAGGCCAATAGGCTGATGACTCTTATGGTGGGACAAAATTTTCCCTTCAGCTTTTACCTCGTTAGTCCAAGTCCGAAGACTGTTTTCTTTGAACTTCACAACAATAAGCACTGTGGCTAGATTTGCTAGCAAGGCAGGGTATGCTCACCATTCTGGGTGGATTTATCTACTAGGCATACTTTTCAAAGAGTAAGTCCCTATAGCTAATACTGTTTATTTGGTCTATAATTTCGTCCTTAATTGAATTTCTGCAACTTAATTTTCACACCTATAGCCCTGTAAACACTTACTATATTACTATATATCTACTGAGTTTTAGTACTTGGTCAATGTAGCTCAGTAATGTGAAATATTTCGAGAGATTGATTGTTGTTGAATGAAAATAACAAAACCTGTTTCATATTACTTCCTAATTGTCTTATTTTAACAGGAAATATCCTATTGTTTGTATAAGGTTTGGCGGTATTGTTATTTTTTTTAATTGTGGGTGGGTTTTAATTAAAGTCGAGTTGCGTGTTTGATACCACAAATTAAGACACCTTTAATAAGATGTTGTAGTTTTTTCTGAAGTTCATCTCGGGGTCAGTATTTACATTCATGTGATATCTAGGATCAATACTTCATTCACATAGAGGTTGGGGCCTATTTAAACATAGGTGATAGCTGGGGTTCAATATTTACATTCTTCTTATAACTGGGTTAAAATTTACATTTATTTCATAGCAGGGGTCAATATTTACACTCATGTTATAACTGGGTTAATATTTATATTTATTTCATAGCAGGGGTCAATATTTACACTCATGTTATAACTGGGTTAATATTTATATTTATTTCATAGCAGGGGTCAATATTTACATTCATGTTATAACTGGGTTAATATTTATATTTATTTCATAGCAGGGGTCAATATTTACATTCATGTTATAACTGGGTTAATATTTACATTTATTTGATAGCTTCGATCAATATTTACATTCAATTTATAACTGGAGTCAATATTTACATTCACGTTAGACCAGGAGTAATATTTACATTAATGTGATAGATGGGTGTCAATATATACTTATAATGGGGGTTAATATTTACATTCTTAAGTCATGCTGGAGTTAATATTTACATTCTTGTGATTGTTCGGATCAATATTTACATCGAAATACAAGGTAGGGTGAATATTTACATTCAAATAGTAGGATGGGTGAATATTTACATTCAAGTAGTAGCAGGGTCAATATTTACATTCAAGCTAAAGTCGTCAGTGTCAACATTTACAGAGATACACAGGATGATGCACTTGGGTTCAGTAAATATTTTACCCTAACTGTATGTAATGTAAATAGTAAATTTAAAAAGCCAATTTACATCCATGGTGTCGACTGGGCTCTGATTTGTGATCAGACTAATCTGATCCATAAAAGACTTATCTGATGTATAAAAATATTGACGCATTTAGCACAAACTTACAAAGTTTATTCGGAAGCTATTAAATTATATGAAGAGTCAATTAAAAAGTCGTTATTTGAAGGAGATATCGACGTACACTTGATAAGAATATTAAGATTAGTTACATTTTATAAAGAGGAAAATTTGTTACGTTATAGGGTCTTTGGCAACTGTGTCTGAGAACAGCGACATGGGTATCAAATATTCATGTGTTTTGTGTTTAAGAGAATCATATACAGTTATAAATCAAGCTTGAGAATAAGGACTTAAGAAGTCGCTGATGAGTGTGACTTGTGATCAAAGAGTTCTCGTTTTCCTGAAACCAGCTTTGACTAAGATGTTCTTCTAGTTTGTGAATCTAAAATTCTATTGAAAGCCTACCAATAAAAAATGCTAAATGAATATCGTTAAAGCTGTAACATTAAGATAAGAAGATTGAAGATCTATGTTCACATCAGGTAAGAATTTTAATTCACACTTTATTATTTTCAGATAAGTATAATTATATCAACAACTAGTGATATGGACATAGCGTAGGATTTTGTGAATTTTGTTACTTTTGAGAAGAAATTATACTTATCATAATTCAGTACCTCAAAGACAACAAAATAAATAATATACTTAATATTCATAATCTCAAACTGTTTTTTTTTTTAAATGGGTTATTTGCTTAAATCTTAAACGTCAATGCGTCATAACGTTTTGAAGTGTGCTTATATCAGATTAAAAAGGCGTGTTCAAATTATGATAAAATCCAAGATCTTATTTACATACATAGATTATATAATCCTTTAATCTTACACTTTAATCCGCAATATCTCATCGACATAGTTGTGCATGTGCTAAAGATAAATATTGCATTAAAGGGAATTTCCATTTAATTCATATCCATTACCAGATGTCCAGTTCCAGAAGGAACTTGTAACTTTTAAAATGAACAATATGTGCTATTCATCTTCATCTTATACTTGGAATATGGTTAATACGCAAAGAGCAAATACGATATTTTGGGTTTTAAAGTGGCCCAAACCTACTATAAGTTGACTATTATGCATAGTCATTGCATGGTTATAAATTAACATGGGTTGTTTGTTTTTAAAATTTGCGAAACCAAAACCATTAAATTATTTGAAATACGACAACGTGGGAATGGAAAAGTGAGACTTTATTTCGTCTGTTGAATGATTTACACAACCACGCGGTGAAATCATTTTCATATTCGCCAAAATTACAAAATGGGAGTTGAAAAGCAGCACTTTATGGCATCTGTTATGGTGTCCGACTCCCCAGTCTATGTCACTGATATGCGTAAATCAGCCTTTAACCGTAAACTCTCTCATTCTGTCGTTACTAACAACGAGATCATTTAATT